AGGCCCCTAAAAGGTTGCAGTCACAGAGAGATGGCCCTGGAACTGAACAATAACAGCAAACACTTGTATGGTGATTACGACACCGCGTTCTAAGGGCGTTGGGACAAAACTCAGTCCACACAATGACTGCAGAAGCCAGCTCTGTCATTAACCCCCTGCTGTAGCTGAGGAAGCAGACAACTGCAGATCCTGTATGCTCTGGGTGGGTGCTGGGGGTGGCGCCGTGTCTGGGTGTAGGGGAGGCCTTATAAAGGACGGACTTCTGCACCTGGGGGCATGGGGGCCACAGGACGAAGTCTCACACGGCTGCTTTGCACACCTGGATACCCAGATGCCTGTGGCCCTTGGACAGTGACCACGTTCACCACATGCAGGGAAGAGTCTCAGGGTCTCACAGCTAATTGCCAGCCTGGCACTTGCACCTTTACCCGTTACACTCTCCTAGTGCATTTCTTAGCGTTGGGTGCCGCTCTGGCCACTGGGGCCCAGCGGGGCCCAGCAGGAACTGGATGGAGGGAGTCCTGGCCTGCCCACCCCAGAGGGTGCACCCTGTAGTTGGGGAGGGCATGGGAACAGGCAAGCTGTCCTGTAGGGGTCGCTATTCAAGGTGCAGGGCACAGGTGAAGACTCTGTGGGAGCCACACTGGAGCACTGCGTCCAGGGCCAGACCGGGGGATGCAAGCAGTGGGGATGGGTGGAGACATCGGATGGGCCGCTGCGGGGCCAGGCCTGAGTTTTGAGAAGACCGCCTGGCTGCATCATGGAGCCTGGGCTGGAGCTGATGCTCTGTGGGCCAGTCAGGGGCTAGGCAAGGCCCACCTGGGGCTTTGCATCTGAACACTGATTGGCATTTCCAGGGTGCGCGCACAGGAGGCAAAGGTCTGAGGGAGGGTGACTGCAGTTTGGAGAATATTTCATGCCTTTGCCTAACGGTGTTAGGTAAACAGCTTTGCTGTGCGTTTCAGCTTCTTCTGGAGTGTTTATTGAGGCTGCAGAAGAACAGTGTGGCCTGGCCATGCCGGTGTGGGGCACGGAGGGGTGAGATCTGCACTGGGCTCCTTGCCTGGGGAGAGTGGTGTCGAATCTGCCTGCCTGACCTGAGCCATGACGCCGTCTCCCGCACAGTGGCTTGACTGGGGCTGCCAGCCCTGTGATTGCTGCCTTGAGGAGTGACCCGGCTGTCCCTCACTAGTTTCCCTCTCTGCTCTCCAGAGCCTGGGTCAGTGGCAGTGAGCAGGCACAGTGCTGGGCATGGTCGTGCCACAGTCTCATCCAATCCCGCCCTAGGCCACAGCGGCGTGGTATTGTCATCCTTATTTAAGAATGAGGAAGGGGCGGCTCAGAGAGGTCAGGAGACGTGCCCCAGCCACACAGCTATTCCCTGTGCCTCTGAGCATCTCACAAGACACTGCTGCTGCTTGCAGAGTCAGGGGTCATGACCATCTGAGCAGCACCTGGCTGAGGCATTGCACAGAGCTCCCTGGGGCAGAGGTCCAGAGACAGGAATGGAACCAGAGGAAGGAGCTGAATGTAGGTCTCTGCCACGTGGCTCCAGACCCTGAGGTAGGGAGGCCAAACCCTGTTGATGGACCTCACGGTCCCTTACCTAGGCCTATAAAGTCCAAATTGGAGAGACGCCCCTTCCGCTCAGGTTACTTGCACTTGGCTTTTTGTCCCAGAAGCAAGCCAGAAAGATGCAGCCCAGCTCCTCTCTCTCCAGCCACGAAGGACACACACAGCAGGCCTTTCTGCAGGCCCATGGTCGGGGCCACTTGCTTAGCCTCTCTACGCCACCAACAGTCCTTCTTGGAGTTACACCAGGGGTGGAAATGACCACCTCCACACTTCACTCTGAGTTCTCAGGGCACCCCGGGGGCAGTGACAGTGGCCAAGTTCTGAGGTTCACCACACCTCTGTCCAAGCATCACCTCAGGGTCCCAGTCCCTAAGACAAACATCCCAGGTGTTTTATAAGAGATTCAAATGGAACTAATTCTGTTTTCTTCCCTTATCACTTTGCACTCAAAAAATCTATTTTTTTTGTTTTTGTTTTTGTTTTTTTGGTACCAGGGATTGAAATTGGGACCTTCCACTTTCAAGGCAGGTGGTAGAACCACTGAGCTAAATCCCCGGCACAAAAATCTGTTTTTAATTAGCTTTCCATATATAATCTAAAAAATCCACAGCTTGTTCCCACCCTCAAATTGTTCTTAGAGAAAGATCTGTAAGTTTCTTAAGAAGAATCTATATGTCCTCAATGCATTTGAATAATATTCATTAATGTGAACTGCACAGAAGCCCGCTCCTTTAGTCACAGATGCGAGACAGTCGCTTGACCTACTGCAAATCAAAAAGCATTTTGCACACCACCTATACTTTTCAATTGGTTAAGTTTTAAATTAAAGTCCCAATGCCCTTTTTGGGAAGGCAGTCTAATAGAGCTCTGACTGAAATTTTCGTTCAGTCGATTGGAAGATAATTACAAGAAACAAAATGTGAAATTTTAAATCAGGGCACTAATGAAGTCTAAAAATACCAGCGGCCCCTCCCTCTAGCTGGTACAACCTGCTCTTCATGAAGGGGATCTCTCCATAATTACTCAACCTCGCAAGAGGGCAGATTGTCACGTCAAACAATAGGCAAAATCGCGGGGCCGTAATGAGCTAGATCGCGCCGTGTTCTGCAGTGGATCTTATTATAATGCTGGGCAAGGTTTCAAACAGGGAACAGGAGAAAAGGAAAATTCTTCCTGTTTTTTTTTAAAGTGGAGTTCTGACTTGTGTTGAAGCCATCACGCAGTGCCTCCTGTTCCTGCCTGGAGCCAGCTGTCTGTCATTTAGGAGCGTGAAATCAATTGGGCTTCAGAGATGTAAAATCCCCAGGGGCAAAATTAAAAGTGACCCAAATCCAAACCCACGTGGTCCTGTCAGGATTATGACTCTCCTATGGCAAGTTTCAAAGATTTGGTTTCAAAATTTGGGTTTCTTATTTTAAAAAATATTCAGTTGTTTGACATTAGATCTGACAGACAAATTATAGCTCCAGCAATAAAGGCTTTTAAGATTAGAAATGAAATGAGATATTACTTAGAAAAAAAGCAAGAACCCACCCTGGTTTGCATTTTACACGCTCCCTTGTGTTTCTACCCACGCGTGGAAGGGGACCAACCCATCAGTGGATAAGGGCTGTAAATAGCGAGTTAAATGCAATTTCTGGGGAAGGCGCCAGTCTGTTGGCAGCCTGCGGCAGTGAGTGTGAAGATCTGGTCACCTGCTGTCTCTGGCTGGAGTGGGGGGCCTGGTTCACGGGCTCCCCCTGGAGGCGGGGCTGTGGGTACTTTCCCCACCCCTTCCCTGGGGTCCTCACCCCATGCGGCTCCTCTTCCTGTTCCTGTCCTGTCTAAGGCTGGAGACCAGAGGCCGGGCCACACCTCCCTGCCCTCCGTAGAAGCCCGGCCGTGGCCAGTCCCTGCCTCTTGTGTCTCCTCCACCCCATGGGCTCAGGACCGAGGATGGACCTGGTGAGGTGGATCCCAGCTCCCAGCCGAGCCCACCAGGGACTCAGTGCCACGGAGCTGCTTAGCTTTTGCACAGAAGGGCTCCTTTTCCTAAAGGCACACTCGGAACTCCGCAGGACTGCAAGACCTCCCATAGTGGGAAGAGGAAAGCCACAGCCTTGGGGATGGCCAGACCGCCTGTGGCCCAGGGTGACTCAAGAACTGCGAGTAAGATTTTTTGGGAAGGAGCTTAACTGAAACAATTCAAACAAAAAAAAAATCAATTTAGTCTACTAAAATAAAAACAGTTCTTAAAGCAAGAGTTGACCAGAATTTAGATGTAATTTTCTACATTTTTGTCATTTAAAATGTATGTAAATTTCCAAAACAGAGAGTTGGGCCCAGTCACATTGGCGTGAAACCCAGCGGAGATCTGGATGTGGCCTTTGTTGATGGGTGGTCCATAAGACCTGAAAGTGGCTCGCAAGGTAAAGACAGGTTCAATCGGAGAGCAGGTGGGAAGGGTGGTGAGTTGGGTTCCTCTCTCTGCTACCAGGCCCAGCCCCAGATGTGCTGTCCAGGGCTGCAGTGGGGAGGTGGGGAGGTGGGGAGCTGGACCCAGGCATGGACACTGCCTAGGACTATCTGTGGGCCTTGGGGGAGGCCCCTGCCCTCGGGGTGCTTCATCTGCAGGAGCATCTGCCCTGTGCCCTGGGCTGTCTGGCCCCGGTGTCAAGGGCTCAGGAACCCGAGGCTCCACGCTGGCCCTGGCCCTCCCACTCAGGACAGGCATCAAGAGTGAGGCCTGCTTCTGGGGCCATGACCCAGACCTGGGCGCTGGGCTTGGGCTAAGAGCTACAGCTCGGTGTGTGCCCTTCCGGAGTCTCTGTTCCCCAGATCCAGCTTGGAGGAATCTCCCTGGGGCAGGGAGGGGGATGCCCTGAGGGCCGGGGGGAGTTGCTCTGTCCCTGGGTCTCACAGAGCCACCTCGGATCCTCACAACCAAGCTCCAAGTGCTCAGGTGCCCTGGGCCTGCCTCACACCTTGGCTGGGCCCCATCCCTCTTTAGGCTTCCCAGATAGGAATGGAGGTGGGTGTTCTTAACGTCCTGGGGTCCGGGATTGGAAAGTGGAGAAGGACCCAAGCAAGGACTGCTCTCTGGAGCTCAGGAGGAGTGGAGGAGTCCTGTCCAGTCTGGCCTGGCTGCAGGTCAGCGCTGAGCGCGGCTGGAGCTCTGGGCTTTGCAGGCTCACCCTTCCTTCCTTCTCCCTGCTTGCCCCAGCGGTACCCTTCCCTGACCTGCACGCCTGACCCCGTGTGGCTTCCCCTGTCTGAGGCTGGGCTCTCTGAGCAGGGAGGCCCCACTGTAGCCTCCGGTGGGTGAGGCCAGTGAAGGAGCCAGCACGAAGCGTCCTCCCCGCTCTCCCCGGCTCTCGCTCTGCGGGGCGGCCAGGCAGGGGGCACAGACGCAGGCACACAGGGAGGTGTGCAGGCGCAGGACTTACCTTTGGGGTGCCCTGGGTCGGTGAACTCATACTTCCCCACGCCAATGGTGCGCAGCATCTGCAGCCCGTGGGCCGAGTCACTTGTGGGGGGTCCATTGGTGGCAGGGGTGCTGTTGGGGAGAGTGGCCGATGGCTGGGCTGGTGGTGGCGGAGGCAGCAGGGGCCCTGCCATATGGCCGTTGCCCACAGCAGCGGGTCCTGGGCGGGCCACCG